AGAGTTGAGCTTAGATGACCGTACATTTCGTTGTTGCTAATCCGTGGTTGACAACCACCAGCGAAATTGCACATAGATTCAAATGAATGAAGTTTGGGATGAGCTAGCCCAGCGTTAGTAAATCTATGGGTCCCATGACCCATTAGTGGCGGTAAAAACATGCTGGGTCAAGAAAATTAAACAAATTTGTCAAATGCATTATAATTATATATATTTATTTAAATAATTCTCTAAACGGCATCTTAATTGTTGTGGTGGTTTCCAGATTTAAATTCAGGACTGTTTTTGGTGTTTTCAGACCAATTTTTAAATTTCAATGTCAATTTGGAATTTAAAGGCCAGTTTGGAAAATTTCATACACCGTTTGAAGAATTCAATGATACCCAACCCTTTTTTTACATGGCTATATTTTTCCAATTTTCTTTTTCTGTGAGGAAGTTAGAAATTGTTTCTAGGTACCGTATTTTTCATTGATTTTTTTCGATGCCAATGCACAGTGGTCCAGAATGTAGATTTAGGTGGAATGATATGTTTTGAGCCTCAAATTGAAACTTTAGACTAAAAGTCTCTTGTACAAAGTTCTTCTTTATTAAGAGACAGAAAAAATATCTTGTACAAAATTGCTTGTAATCAACTAAGCTACAACTTTTTCAAACAACACATGTTTTTATTCTGCAAAGTATTGTAAATTTCTGTTCAATATGATGCACATAAAAGGAGCGTCACATATCATATAAGTTAACATTATAAACCGTGTAAAGTACTGACACTTCTCATGAAATGACTAAAATATATACGTACCCTAATTAACAAAGCACAAGCAATAAAACATCTCAAATTGGCCACTAAATACTACAGGGGTGCACCAATAAATAAAAAACAAGTTGCAATAGAAATGAAGAAAAAGCCAATAAACAAATAAAAAGCTTCTTTTAATAATTTGAATGTGAGCGGTAAAAATGGCAAAAAGGGCAATAGTAAATACAAGACGCTCAATTAAATAAGGATGAATCTCCACTAAATTAGGAAATTTGAGCACTAAATAACTCACTTTCGTCACCTGAAGTTGAACATATTTTCCCATAAAAGTGGCAAAATGAGCAATACCATATTGAATAACCGCAATAAATAAATCTAAAATGTCCCACACAAAGCGCACAGTTATCACTGTTTTAATCCAATTATGCTGTAAAATCGTGATTATTTCCCCAAGAAAAAAAATGAAAATATCTTTTAAAAACTGAAAAAGTTCCAGGAACCAGGAGATAAATGTATGCTTGAACATGAGGATGAGCCATCGTAAAATATGAATCGTTCTTAAAGAAAAGAAAATAATTCATGCAGGAAAGTAAAAATGAGCAATAAAAAACGAACACTGCGCAATATAAAATAAAAAAAAATCCAATGATATTCAGGAAATATTCCTTTAAATTGAAAGTTTATGAGCCAATAACCCAGATCAATTTCCATATGGTATTTTCAAGATAGCGATAAGTAATGATACTGTGTCTTGGCTAACAAAGTCGATGTCGATAAAGAAGATTAATGAATGTGGGTCTCATTGAAAAAGGTACCATTAAACAAAATCAAAAGAGCACTAAAAACAGCTGTCTGAGCAAAATATACGTCACAAAAGAGCACTAGAAAATGCCATTTGAGCAATATAAAGGTAAAAAAAGACACAAAAAGCACAATGAATGTCCCAGGGAAAATTTCAAAAACGCTCAACAAAAATAAGAAATGAGCAAGAAACGTATAAAATTAGCACTCTGAAAAATAAATTGAGCATTTTATAGGCCATGAAGGTCACAAAGAACGAAAACAATATCTCTTGAAAACCTGCAAATCTTCATCGAACCATAGACAAACAGACATAACACTCGCATCTTGTACATCGAACACGCATTTAACGATCAATTTAAATATGTGATACTAACTAATGATAACACCTCCGCCGGTGGCGCCCATAGTTAATTTCCTTGCGTTTGACGTTTACACACTACTGCCATCTGTTGAGCGTGCTACCCGTGATAGTGTTCTCAACAGATGGCGGTAATGTTTTAGTGAAGATGGTTTACAGTGGAAACTATTCGATGTGTTATGTCTGTTTGACTGTGATCGAACTATCGCCTCATTTTTTAACAACAATCAAATGAAGGCAAGATTAAATTAACTATGGGGGCCACCGGCGGAGGTGTTATCAACTAACACATATTTAAATTGACCGGTAAATGCGTGTTCGATGTACAATATGCGAGTGTTATGTCTGTTTGTCTATGGTTCGATGAAGATGTGCAGGTTTTCAAGAGATATTGTTTTCGTTCTTAGTGACCTTCATGGCCTATAAAATGCTCAATTTATTTTTCAGAGTGCTAATTTTATACGTTTCTTGCTCATTTCTTATTTTTTGTTGAGCGTTTTTGAAATTTTCCCTGGGACATTCATTGTGCTTTTTGTGTCTTTTTTTACCTTTATATTGCTCAAATGGCATTTTCTAGTGCTCTTTTGTGACGTATATTTTGCTCAAACAGCTGTTTTTAGTGCTCTTTTGACTTTGTTTAATGGTACCTTTTTCAATGAGACCCACATTCTTTAATCTTCTTTATCGACATCGACTTTGTTAGCCAAGACACAGTATCACTACTTATCGCTGTCTTGAATATACCATATGGAAATTGATCTGGATTATTGGCTCATAAACTTTCAATTTAAAGGAATATTTCCTGAATATCATTGGAATTTTGTTTTATTTTATATTGCGCAGTGTTCCTTTTTAATTGCTCATTTTTACTTTCCTGCATGAATTATTTTCTTTTCTTTAAGAACGATTCATATTTTACGATGGCTCATCCTCATGTTCAAGCATACATTTATCTCCTGGTTCCTGAAACTTTTTCAGTTTTTAAAAGATATTTTCATTTTTTTTCTTGGGGAAATAATCACGATTTTACAGCATAATTGGATTAAAACAGTGATAACTGTGCGCTTTGTGTGGGACATTTTAGATTTATTTATTGCGGTTATTCAATATGGTATTGCTGATTTTGCCACTTTTATGGGAAAATATGTTCAACTGCAGGTGAAGAAAGTGAGTTATTTAGTGCTCAAATTTCCTAATTTAGTGGAGATTCATCCTTATTTAATTGAGCGTATTGTATTTACTATTGCCCTTTTTGCCATTTTTACCGTTCACATTCAAATTATTAAAAGAAGCTTTTTATTTGTTTATTGGCTTTTTCTTCATTTCTATTGCAACTTGTTTTTTGTTTATTGGTGCACCCCTGTAGTATTTAGTGGCAAATTTGAGATTTTTTATTGCTCATTTCGCTTTTTTTATTGATGATTAATTGTGCTGCCTCATGAAATGTTGCAAATATTGTATACAAAAGCCCATATTTGTAAACAACATTGCTTACAAGTTGCGCGTTTGCTTGAAATGAAATACAAGTTTACGTGAATGAATATTTACATCACAATTAAAATTCAGATTTTTTTTGCTGTGTGTAAAACAAAAAAGTCAGTTTTAAAAATCCCCTAATTTGAGGAAAAAATTTGCGCCTTCTAAAGATCTAAAAGTTATTTGGAGACACCTTTGCTGAGAAATTTGAAATAAGAAAACGAGAGCAAAACAACTAAAAAAAATAGCTCTAAATCGGTCAATTTAAGAGATATAAAAAAAAGTTTTTTTTGTACAAAAATGCTTGAAAGTTAGCTCAGCTATATTTTTGCCGAAGAATGTATACCTTAATATATTCAAACAGAAAAGTTTGATTTTTTATTTCAATGATAATAAGAGCCAGCCTAGAATTCATTATCATAAAAATGAGGGCCTAGCTATAAAGAATAATTTTGTATAAGAGACTTTTAGTCTAAAGTTTCAATTTCAGGCTCAAAACAAATCATTCCACCTAAATCTGCACTCTGGACCACTGTGCAATGGCATCAAGCATGATTTTAGAGAACATTTTTTTGGGTTTATTTTTGTTTACTCTTTAGAAAGCTATTTTTGTAGAATTTTGTTTCTACATCGACACATCACGTTTCAAAGCTTACATTGAAGCTGTTAATGTCTCGCAAGAGCGTTTAGGGTGTAATTTTGTTAATTGCTTGTTAATCGAAAAGGGATGCCTTCTCGTTAAAACATTCTTCGATACTTCCCTGGCTCACAGAGCACAGTGCGGTATGTTAGTTAATGAGTATGTGGATTTATCTGGCTTCATGTCCTTAATCTAATCAAATTAAAGGAAACCAAATCTAGCATTCTGAAACATATCTTTTGTTAATAACTCGGCTTGATTAACATTTATCGATGTGTTTGATGTTGCTTTCACTACACTGTATTGCAGTAATTTCAGAAAATTTGTTCACTGGACTGTGGTATTGTGAAGAGAAAATCGATGAAGAGAATCGATCTTCGCAGTTAGGTCCTTATGATTCTGAACGCTAGAAATTATTGTTTTTTTTTAATCCTCATTAAGGAAAAAAAAAACTTCATAACCCAGCCTTGAAAATATATTATACTTACCCGTCTCAAAAGGTAGCGCTGCAAAAATCTGTTAAAATATGAATGTGCCGAGATTTGCTTTTCCCATTATCTTCATATGCGTCACCGTGGAACATGCGAAAAATCATTGTTAGATTAAGTATGGAGCTTTTCATCATATAGGGTCACATGGGCATTGAGCGATCACAGCTGTATCTACACATGTATACGTCGTATTCATCTCTGATGGATTGTTTGTTGATTTATTGGATGTCGGTTGTGACAACCACTACAGCGAATTGCTTTTGACACCTTTCCATGTTGTGAACCTCCCATCCATCAACTTTTTCAGGCACCAGATGTATGTAAATTGATTTTTTTTTTTAAATGAAATACTCACAAAAATTGTTTTTGTGAATAACATATATGTACATGGAATGTCATCAGTTTTTCAAATGAAATCATAATATTGATGTGTTTTAAATATAAAATATTTATTTAATCATATTAACTGCATTACACATCTTGGGTTCTCGCGTAGGGAAATGTGCAAATTGGCCTTTTTTTATTTACAATTTACTTTCGCATATTGACAAATGTGTTCAGGTTGAGTGAAGTGCTGTCTGTTCAAATCAAATTTGATTTTGCTTTCCTACATGAAATAAATGAAATGAAAACATTAAATTTCCTATGCGGGTTGTTTTAACTCCAGCTTGAGTGGAACACATTGTCAGAAAATATGAATTTGATGCTCTATATGATAGAGCGCATTTTTTTATCGATACACCTAGAGTTTTTCTTTTTCTTATCGTTATTTATTTTCTTTCGGTGGTGATGGTGCGCTATGCTGAATAGGTACGTGCTTCTTCGATACACGCGAATTTCTTTTCTGAGACGTGAAATTTCCTACTCATGCCATTTTCGTCTTCGATAGCATCGTCAATAAATGGCGGAATGCCTCACTGCGGGCACTTGAGAGTGGGTAAAGCTGCCAAGAGGATCTACTTAGTGAGTTTCAGGGTTCCGTGAATACATGATAACTCATTTTAAATTTGGTGAGTGGTAAATAATTAGAACCATTCCGATCAGTATTTATGTCAACATAAATGTAATTAACTAGATGCCAGAATTGTTCTTGACAACTTTACCCTACAAGTTTACATCACCCCGACTTTCAAGCCCAACCATAAAAAAGAATCGTTCTGACAGATTTTCCGTTCGTTTTCAGGCATTTTGTATGATTGATTTTGACGAAGAGTGGCTGCTTTCTGTTCAACTGATGTCGGTCCGTTTGCAGTTGGCCACCCCAAGAAGTTACATTGGATACAGGAGCTGGATTCGTGAGAGAATGGATCCGCACCGGACACGGTATCTGTTAGGGTTAAGCTGCGATTTTCCGTAGCCGTCTGACTGAGGGAAACGTTTTTATTGCCCTGCAAATTGCCCTCGGTGACTATATAATTCGGTAGGATGAACATTGTGGTTGATATCTGGGGCACAGCATCGGGGTGATTAAAAACTTTGAACGTTGGCATAAACGGGGCAGACGTTGATGGATGCTCAAAGTTCGGTTGCTAGAATGGAAAGAGCAAAAAGCATGGGAAAACTTTAGGATAGCTTGAAATAAAAAATCACAATAAGGGAACTTTCAATTTGAACAAAAACAAAAAGATGAAAATAAGTTCTTATGAACACATTTCTTGGTAACTTTTGATGTAGTCTGATAATGCCACTTGGTGAGTCTAGGAGACAAATAATGAAAATGAATGTCGTGATATTTGGAAGCGATTTCAGCAGCATAATCGTTTTTTTCAGGTCTGTATGTGTAGCACAACAATTTACCGTAACCATGAATTTATTTAAAAAATGAAAACGATAAGATATAGAACAGAGGTGAGATACTGCTGGTGAGTAGGAAATATGTAAAATTTGTTAAATGAGCAAACAAACCAGTTCTGATTAGGATGAAACTTTTCCCATGTCCCACGGAATGAGATATCATGTACATTTTCCGTGCGAGACCATTTCGGCTGAATTAAATACATGATGGATGAAAGCGGATAAAAAAAGGTTGTTCCAGACTTCTTGGCTGCGCTTTTAAATTCTAATGATTTAAAATATAGAACATGCAATCTTCACCAACATTCCACGCTGTTGTCATTTCTGTGGCAAAATTATGACTGTGGTTAAATAATTTGTAACACAGCACGCATTCCTTGGATTCTTCCGTGAGCACTGTGCTTATTATTTGAAAAAGTTCTTCATCTTATGATGATGATGGTCCCACCTCTTACCCCTACAAAGGTTTGAGCTGGACGATTTATCTTTAAGATAATTATATATGACATTTTAACCAGGTTGGCAAACAAAATCCAACTGGTTTCAGTTACAGATATAAATTCCCTCTAGAGTTTACAGTTGCTTCATAGCGATATAAATGTTGAAAAGCTCAGGCGTCCACCTCTTAGTTCGCCTTTTTGTCAACCTAAAATATTCATAAGTATTACAAGCAATCAAGAGTTAATGAACAATCAACAAAGCATCCTATTACACTAGTAACCCCGCAATCTGATGCTATCATAATTTTCAGCAATGTCAGGAATGCTCACGAACCCCCAACATTTGCCAGAAAACTTACTACTAACTCAAGGTATCTTCCAAATAAGCTTCAAAATTGCATTTTTTTTTTTATCAAATGTTAAATTCAGTCCTCTATATCCGTAATACGCGCGCGAGGCTCAAACCTTTGTAGACTACTATTTTTTTTTACTACTACTATTAAATCATATATCAAAAATCCATCATCACCATCGTGGCGAACAAAATAGTTTTTGCAGTTCTATAATAATTATTAAAAAGTCGTTATAACAGCTATCCATACAAAGTAATCCGTTAAAAATAACTTCGTCAAGATACATAATTTGTCAATTCATAAAAAAAAAATCACTGGATAATCGTTCAAAAGACAGTTTTAACGTGTGAAATGCAATGTCTCTTAAATTCTGCTAATGTTGTTGAACGTTTAATGTGTCTAGGCATCGAATTGAAAACATTTATTCCTTTAAAAAATAATGAATTCTGTGAAGCACAAGTCAAGAAATGTGGTGTTCTTATTTCATCCGCGTTTCTAGTATTATATCTATGAAAGTCACTTCCTCTTTCAATTCGATCACACAAATATCGAGGCAGCAAAACGTTAACTACTTTAAAAATGAACACCATAGTCAAATATACAATTCTTTGCTTCACCGACAACCATTGTAAGGCGTCTAGCATCAAAGTTGAGGAAGTGAATCTATTACATCTCAAAATCAAACGCATTATTTTATTCTGCAAGCGCTGTAATCTCGATATTTGTGTTGCATTAGACAGAAATAAAATGGATGGGCAAAAGTCTAGATGAGGAGAGATGATTGATTTGTATAGCTGTATTTTACTGGCAATAGTTAAATCGTTTTTCAATCGACATAGAATTCCATACTTCTTGGCAATTTTCTTGATGACATTGTCAATGTGAGAGTTGAACTTAAGTTTGTCATCAATAATCACGCCAAGATATTTAATCTCCTGAACGCGATCAATAGTCTCATCATCAATTACAACAGAGACGTTCTCATTTAATCGATTCCGCGAAATTACCATAAATTTAGTTTTACTTGTATTCAATTTTAACTGCTTACACTTCAACCATCTACTTAGATACTGCAAATCTACATTCAAGTGTGAGACGGCAACTTCTAAATCCTTAGCTGCAATGAATAACACAGTATCATCTGCAAAAAGGTTAATGTCGCAAAACCGTAAAACACGTCGCAAGTCATTAATATACATAATAAATAAAAGGGGCCCTAATACACTTCCCTGGGGCACTCCAAGGTTGTTCCCCACGGGACTGGAGACAGAATCATTAAAAACAGTCCGTTGAGTTCTGTCAGACAAATAGCTTTCAAACCATTTATATGCAGTACTCGTAATTCCAAAGCGCTTGATTGTACTTAACAGTAAGGGCCTAGAAATTGTTTCAAAAGCGCGTTTCAGATCCAAAAAAACAGCAACAATCGTATCTTTACGCTCCAAGTTGTCTTTCCACTTTGCTAACACCAAATTCAATGCAGTTTCACAAGAATGACCTTCCCGATATCCCGATTGTTCTGGTATCAACAAAGAGTTGCTATTCAAATACTCCAACAGCTGGCCTTTAACAACAAGTTCTAAGATTTTCTCTAATGTGTGCAACATGTTGATGGGACGAAACTCTTCGGCTTTAATCATTTCAGCAACTTTTTGAATAGGAATCACTAAGGATTCCTTCCAAATTTGTGGCACATGTCCATTCTGCAATGATTCATTAATAAGGTCCAGAAAGATGTGGCCAATGACATGAAAGCAATCTTGAATAACTCTAGCATTAACATTATCTACTCCAGCCGATTTTCCTAATGAAAAACAAATAACTCTAAGTTCATCTAATGTAATTGGGTGAAAAACTTCAAATCTGCAACTACTATTAACTGGCTGTTTTATTTCGTCAGGTTCATCGACCAATTCAATAGATTGATTAATCAATGAAACACTGTCTACGAAATAATCATTAAACTTAGATGCAATTACTTGTTCTGACTGTTCTAATGTGCCATTAAAAGTTATGGACCGCGGTTTGCAATTACTAGGTTTTAATAAAGATTTCAAAATTTTCCATAACTCTTTGCTGTTGTTTTGATGCTGATCAATCTTCCTTTGAACATATTCACAACGAGTTTTCTTTATCGATTGTGAATACTTATTACGCGCGATTGTGTACCTAGTCCAATGATTGTCATTATTAGATCTACAACACTTTTTGTACCATTAGTCCCTTTTCCGTTTAAGACGCAAAAGATCCAAATTGTACCAGCTGTTCGAGTTTTTCAAAGAAACAAACTTTTGCTCAACTAGTTGATTGGTACACGTTTTCAAAGCGTTATTAAGAACAGCTGTAGATTCATCTAAGTTACCGGCCGCGAATGGAAAATCCAGGCTTTTCTCAACAAGATTTGAAACAGCTTGCTTCGAATATTTCCTCCAGCACTTCAATTTTACAAAATTATCGTTATCGTTAACATGGTCTAAGACATTAATCACTAAAGTCTCATGATCGGTTATTTTCAAATCAGTATCCGTAACTGAACAAATGGAATCAAAATTGGAATAAACGTGGTCAATTAAAGTTCTACTGTGCCTGGAAATACGCGTATATTCATTTACCGTTTGCTTTAAATTAAAAAACTCAGCTAAATGCTTCAAATGATTCGAATTATGGTTATCACGCCAATTAATATTAAAATCACCAGCCAATATATTTAATTTACTAGAATCAAGGAATGTCTCGAGCCAGTTCACTAAAACTTCAACAAAACGCTGGTCACTAGAACTGGGAGAATGATACAAAACACCATAATTACCCATCTTCATGCCACGTACAACTGTAATGCCCAAGAACCAGTTGCCATCAATAACTTCGTTGGTACGAAGGTTGAATTGAACTGATTCTTTGACATAAATAGCAACACCGCCCGTGTGTCTAGAATGTGATAAACAAGCAGCAACAATATATCCCGGAATACTATACTGATCAAAAGCTTCAGTTTCTACAATATGAGTTTCAGATAATAAAACTAAAAGAGGACGTTTTTCCTCAACAATCTGACGTAATGCTACGTAGTTTGTTGACAACCCCGCAATATTCAAATATAAAAAATCGAATTGATTCACATTCCTGGAACTTGGCTGCTATTTATTGAAACGCAAGCTGCTTTTCTTCTGATCAAAAAGTCTTTTATAGAGCAAACATTCCGAGCTAAATGCGGCATGGTTGACTTCCAAGTTCATTTTTCGTTCTTTATTCATTTTCAAACAATTAATACATTTCAATACAGTTGACGTACACTCCGACGTTTTGTGTTGTTGGCTGCACCTAGAGCATCTATCACAATTTTTGCAATCCATGCTCTTGTGCCCAAATTCTCCAAAATAACAATGAAGTGGGGGCTCAGTTGCTGTTGCTTGTGACATAAACATATTGTGGAAGGCATTAGTTTATGTGTACTTGTTAACTCGGTGTTTCAGTGTGGCAGTCAACACACCCACACAAACTAACTACACCATCTGATAGAGCAATATTTGGTCTATCAGATGGTGTAATTAGCATGTGTGGGTGTGTGGTAATTCACGAGGAATTGAAGTTCAATGTAATGGTTTATGTTTTGAGATAGACCCTTCTGATATGTTTCCCCTGCTTTGTTGAATTAGTCACCATATATAATCTACCAATTCATCAGACTTAATATATGTGAATAATAAATAGGCCCTGAAGAAAGTCCGAACCAAGGACCGAGACGTCGACGATGATAATACTAACGCATTCATTTTATGACTGCCACGCCGAAACACCGAGTATACAAGTAAATCTAACAGTCGTCATTAAAGTTAAGCGTACGTAAAGGCTGACTAAAACTGAATTGGTACGTCCTTCGCGCGCCACTAGCACACCTCTAGTGTTGGGAATCTAAAATCTTTGTAAGTGGTTTGTTTACAC